TGAGTGTTACCTTGTTTGCAATTAAGATCAACAGCCTCGCTGCAGTTATACCACCATCAGTCTTTTATTCATTGTACGTAGACGATGTCCAGATCGCTTTCTCCTCATGCAACTTGTCAATTTGTGAGCGCCAATTGCAGATAGCAATAAATAGGATGAGTAAGTGGGCCGATGAAAATGGCTTCCGGTTTGCACCAGAAAAAACAGTGTGCGTGCCTTTTTCATTACGTCGAGGGTTGTCGCTAGATCACAGCTTGCAGATGAATGGCATTGACGTAACTGTTAGGCATGAGCACAAATTCTTGGGTGTTCTTTTTGATAAGAAGCTCACTTTTCAGACCCATCTAAAAGAACTGAAGCGAAAGTGTCTTAAATCTGCCAATGTTCTCAAGGTGCTTGCACACATGTCCTGGGGTTCTGACAGGAGATGCCTCCTGCAACTCTACAACTCGCTGGTTCGTTCCCGCCTTGACTATGGTGCGGTTGTATATGGCTCGGCACGACCTTCATCTTTAAAAATGCTAGATCCCGTGCATCACCTTGGACTTCGACTTGCCACAGGGGCCTTCCGAACGTCGCCTGTCCCGAGTTTGTATGCAGAGACGTACCAAATGCCACTAGAAAAGCGAAGACAGTTCCTCAGCCTATGCTATAGTTATAAAGTCAAATCTGACCCTGAACACCCATCCTTCCGTTGTTTGCAGGTATCTCCTTTTTTTCGTCTTTTTGAGAATAAGCCAAGTATAGTACGGCCTTTAAGCCTCTGCATTCAATGCATGTCTGCATCCCTGCAGCTTGCACTTCCTGAGCGTAGCTTGATGACGAAAGTTCAAAGCATTGCTCCTTGGAAGGCGGTGCACTATACCTGTGACTGGTCACTAGCGAAATACAATAAGCGAACTGTTGCTCCACTAGTCCTTCAGCAAGAGTTTATGACCTTGCAAGCTAAGTATAAGGACTATGCACAATTCCTCACTGATGGTGCAAAAACTCCACACTTTGTCGGTTCGGCTGTATGTTCAGAACACTTTGTAAAAGCTCGACGGCTTCACTCTGTTGCCAGCATTTTTACTGCAGAACTTTATGGTGCGCTCATGGTTATTGAATATATATTAGGCAACAACATCAGGAAAGCTATTTTGTTTGTGGACTCCCAGAGTGCTATCCTCTCTCTCTGTTCCCTCCATGATGCTAAGAATCGGCTCGTGCAACAAGTACAGGTAGAGTTAAACCTGGCTTCCCAATTGGGATACAATATCAGGCTATGCTGGGTACCAAGCCATGTGGGAATTTCAGGTAATGAAAAGGCGGATAGGCTAGCAGCCTCTGTTAAGGATGCTCTGGAAACACCTGTTCAGCTGCCTCAAGAAGATTTTAAACCGGTTCTCAAAAAAGCAGTTTATTATGCCTGTCAGCAAGACTGGGACAAAGAAATAAATAATAAGCTACATGTTATCAAACCACGTTTGGAGTTATGGGAGAGTTCGCACCATAGAGACCGTCGCCATGAAGTCTTAATGTGTCGCTTGAGAATTGGACATTCACGTATCACCCATCGGCATCTTCTTTGTGGTGAGGACACCCCAGTCTGTGAGCATTGCGGTGAATCGCTAACTATACTGCATATTCTATGGCACTGCAAATTCTTTGATCAGGAACGTCGGACGAGTTTTCCTTCACTTTCTGGATATCTTCCATTTCATCCAGCCTTCTTACTGGGAGATGAACCTTTAGTTCCTTTTGGTCACATTTTAGATTTTCTTAAAAAAACTGGCTACCTGCACCAGTTATAGATCCTCTGCATAGTAATTCCTTCCTTCTACTATAGAGTCTTTTAATTATCTCTTTGGCGCAGCATGGCCTATGTTGCTTTTTGCGCCATTAAACACCTAATAATCAATCAATCAATCAATCGTTTCAAAGAATTTGAGATTGCTCAAAAAGACCGAAAATTGCTGAAAGAAACCGAAAAGAACTTCAAACTTAAAAGTCAAGCACAGTCTGCTAGCAGCGGTAGGTGGTACGCCCGGAGAAAACCGGTGGTTGGCGGGACGCCGGCGAACGTGACACTTCGAGTGGCAGCGGTTCGGAGGCAAGAGAGAAACTGGAGTTGCTGAACGGGTCAATATTTGACGTCGCTGCACCGGTGCAGATCGTGCGGGGACTTCAAATTCGGCATTTGGGAATTGTTTTTTTTTACTTCACAAATACTGAATTCCCAAGTTTAAAATTTTGAGGGTAACGTCCAGACATAGCTTTCATTCGTTTCGGATAATAAAGAAAAATATGATTTTGACGTGTCAGTTCCCCTTTAAAGCAACAAATCTAAATAGCGCAAGATAAGAATGTGTGGAGTGAAGACTGCACTGGAGTGAGCCAAGCATGCCACCAACGACTCGCTTTCAAATCACGCAATTATCGCTGGGCGTGTCCTCGGCTTCGTACCTTTTTTTTTCTGGCTTCGGCAAAGAGCCTCTTGTGTGCGCAACTCTGTAGGTTGCCCCGAGGTAACCGGTGGGCCAGCAAATGCCTGCTCTGCAGGCTCGAAATTCAACCGATGCACTTGGCTGGGCTGTCCTTCATAGCCTTATTAAACCCCCGTTCACTCGAGCATGCAACTTTTAACTCTCATTTAAAGCACTAACCACTTTCTCGAAAGGAGGCTTCTTCTTTGCCCCTGACTCACTTTAAATGAAAGCGGACAAAGAGGGTGGTTTTGTCGTGCTGCCTGAGACTTTTTTCCAGGACGAGGCAACTGCTGCTATTGCAAAAAGTTTTAGGCCGGTGAAAAATTTTGTTCCTAAACAAAAAACGGCAGCACTTGGGCTGCTCAAGGAATCACAGCTAAAGGGCGTTAGAAAAGCTGCGACAAGGCGGAGAAAGTTTTTCTGGAGTTGTTTTTCACAGGAAAGACGCATAGACCTGAATGCCTTCTACAAGTCATTGTTTCTGAAGGGTGCACGGGGCAAGTTTAGGTTAGCCGATTTTTACAGCATCATCTAAGTGGGATCTAGCGAAAATCCTTTTCTGGTTCGGAGCTCAAATGAAATAGTGCAAGTTCTACTGATGGGAATGCCAAATGCACATTTGGCATTCTCAATTGATGTAGAGGATCTGTTTTATTCAGTACCACACGGAGGACTCTTTAATGCTGTTCGGGACAAGATTAATAAATCGATTTTCAAAACTCTACAGGTGCATGTTGGCAGTGACCGTTTTTCAGCGTTGTTGGAATTTTATCTGCGGTCGACGGTTTTCAACTTTAAGGATGAGTTTTACTTGCAAAAAGCGGGTGTTTGTTTTGGTTCCTCGAGAGCCCCAGTTTTGTGTGATATTTTTTTATCATCCATGGACAAGTGCATATTGGAAGGCCTTAATGAGATGCAAATGCTTTGAATTTTTGGATGTTTAGACGATTTTCTGGTTATTATGAATGATCACTCGGAGATGTGTTTTCATGATGTTGTTACAAACGTCGTCAAATTGTTTGACGCCAAGTTGGACAAACTGAAGTTCACCTGGGAGCTTTCCATGGACAAGTGCATTCAGTTTTTAGACCTACAGCTTACTTTTACATATGAAGTGTGCTGGTTGTACAAACCGCATTCGAGAAAGAGCTTCTTCAATAGGATAGAACGGTGCACAGAACACGAAGAAAGAGAGAGGACAGCTAGAGTAGAAGAGTGCTGTGCTTCCGCTCTACCTGTCTTTTCTCTTCTTTCGTGTTCTGTGCACTGTTTTATCATGTTGAAGTACCAACCAGCTCAAATTTAAATTACTGCTTTAAAAGAGAATCTCGTCTTTTGATAGCGCTCATTCTAATTTGATAAAGCGAGGAATTGCTCTCACCTGTCTTCAGGCTGCTCTGACAAAAAGCTGCCATTACGCTTTGACGACTAGCTTTGAACTTCAGGCTACCCCGCCTGCTTCAAGCAGGCGGGCTACCTTGCCTGCTTGATTACCAACGTGTGTGAAAACCTCCTATAAAAGATCAAAAGTAAAGGCAACACATTCCTTATTTGCGCAAGGTGTTGCACAACCTTGAGAAGTAGCAATTAAGAATGATGTCAATGTTGTTTTTTCCGCTCCATGCAAGCTGGCAAAAGTTTGTCCTATGACGACTAGACAGAAACGTGTTCAATGCTCGAAGAAACGCGTCACTCAGTACACATCTTGTGCCTCTAATGTTATTTACGAGATTCCGCCAACGTGCCGGCGCGTGTATATTGGACAGACTGGGCGGTGTTTTAGTGAAAGGGTGTGTGAACTTCGTCTAGCAGTTGCTAACAAATCGGGGGGACATCTTGCAGTACACTGCATGCGGTGCGGGTGTGATCCCTTGGTAGAATTAACAAAATTTATTAAAAGAGCAAACGAGTAGACTGAAAGGGAAATAGTTGGAGCGTATTTTATAAAGTCCTCAGGTGACAACTGCGTCAGCATGTCTTTGATTTTACTAAATGACAAGAGAGCTTCTTTTCTAGATGGTTTTGTGTAGACACGTTGAACTGATATGAATGTCTGAATCATTCTCGTTTGTGTTTATGGGTTGCTTTTATTGCAGGGGGTTGGCCAGATAGGAAAGTGTCTTCACGGATGTGTGCTGGGTAGCTTCCCTCAATTAAATCAGCTGAAATTTAGTGCCACTTCGTGTTGTATGTGTTTGTTCTTCGTCCGTGTTTTTGGCACTTTTAAGTCCTAGATCACAATGAACCAACTAGCCCAATCCAAAGTTTTTGACTTCGAGAGGTTTGCGAAATCCTTAGTTAAAAGTTTTTACGGCAGCGCCTTTGGTCACGACGGCTTTCTCTCCAACAAACTCTGAGCCTGTTTCCGTCTCGTGTTGGATAGTTGGACGGCTTCGTAAAAGTTGCACAAAGTGCCGAAGTGTGCGCACGGGCGTGTGGTTTTGGGTGGAAGCTTGTTTTGAGAATGGAATGTCAACTTGTTAGGTTTGTGGGTGTTTGAGACGATGGATGGGAGTGGGTCGATGTGCGCAGGCTGGACTGGTGAGCAAGCTGAGCACCCGGTGTTCCGTGCTGGCGGCCACCAACCCAAAGGGCTCCTGTTCCGCAGACGGGGTAGGTGCCAAGCGTCGCGACTCAAAGCCTTTGTTGAGTCAATAGACTACTTCTAAAAATCTCCTCTCAACGCTGCTCGTGTTGCATTATTTATTTATTATTTGTTTATTCAGCCCCTCGGGGCTGGAAGGCATAACAGAGGGGAGTGGACCAAAGTAGCACGTACATATTATTAAATTAGGCAGTCTAACACGGCCCGGAACTTCATAAAAAAAAATCGGAAAAACAATATAATTATGAACAGCATTTTTAAAATCGGCACTTTCAGTTAAGTCAGCGATAAGTGTGGGAAGGCGATTCCAGTCCAGTGATGACATAGGTATAAAAGACTGCATAAAGGTTGATGTCCGACAATGAGCGATGCCTACTTTACTTTGGTGATCGACACGAGATGAGACATAAGATGGTTTTGTTAAGAGATGTTGACGTAGTGTTGGGTTATGATGATATATTTTGTGAAACAAACAGACGAGCCATTTTTCTACGGAGGAAGAGGTCAGGCGAGCCTAAGGTTGTTTCATTGTTGACGCTTGTGCCGCTTGATTTCTGGTAGCTAGTCGGGTGTTCCCAGGCCGCACTGATGATGTCTCCCGTATAGGAGACCAAACGTCCGATAAATGTTGATATTGTTATGCAAGTCGGCGGTAATTGTTTTTAATCATGAATCCCGGCTTTTGGAACATTTTTGCATTGTTGACGCGGTAAAAGTGCAGTGATAGCTATGCAGTATGAAGCGAAAAGAGTGATTTTGAACGGCTTTAGTGATAATGCGAGTATTTTGGCTGGATCCCAGATGGAGGCAGCATACTCCAGTTTAGTGCAGACCAAGGATTTGTATTAAAGAAGTTTTAGGGACTAATGCGTGGGAGAAGTTTTTTTTAAGGGATCCCGGCATGGCAATTAGCAGTATTAATTACATGCTCAATATGAGCTTTCCACGAAAGGTTGCTAGCAATGTGTACACCACCCACAATATTTATATGAAGATACAGTCCAGTACAACATTTCCCATGTAAGACGGACAAGTGTTATTCTTGTGTGATATTCATGGATGTACATTTGCTAATATTGAGCTTCATTTGCCATTTATAGCACCAATGGGAAATATGATCAAGATCAGTTTGAAGGAATTGGACATCAGAATCATTAGTAATTTAAAAATAAATAACGCAGTCGTCAACAACAGACCAATTGAGGATGACGGACGCGAGGGGAGGTCATTAATAAAGATAAGGAACAAAAGAGGGCCCAGTACAGAATGCTCCGCGTGGCATCTGGCTGCTAGGATCGCTCCGATTGTGCAAGAGGTCTATTGTCTAAATTCCAAAGGCTGGAAATTGGAAAAAAATGGGCTTTCTAGGACTGTTTCGTAAACCTACACGTCCCGAAGATTTTATAGTCGCGTTCGATAGTTGCATCGGTAAAGAGCCAGTAATCGCTTAAACGCCGGCTACGAGAACAAATCTTCCTCCTTCCGAGCTTAAGGACGAAACATCATTACCGCAGGGGGCAAAATTTCTTCTGAAGTCGCTGTGTCATGGAAGGAATCAAGAAATGGTGTGCCTGTCGCGCGATTGGGTGCCTTCCCTTTCCGCTTTCAGGAGCTGGACCTGAACACTGGGATTGCGAGCCCCCTGCTGAGTCGCTTCGACCTGGTCCTGGTCCTCAAGGATTGCCACAGCGAGGGCTGGGACCGCCTGGTCTCAAAGTTTATCCTACTGGGTCAGGACCCCCTGGGTAAGGAATTTTGTATTTGCGTGAATGTAATCTGACCACGAATATAATACGAGGGAAAGTTTAGAAGCCCTCGACAAAAGATACAAAAAAAGATTACTATTATAACGCGATTTAAGGCTGCACTCAAGGATGTAGCAAAACTGAAAAGGAGACGGAAACCTGGAAAATATTGGTGTACGTTTTGACTGCACTCGTGGTGACTGCTCTGCTCCTTCTCACAGTCGCATTTGCAACTCGGCTCATAGTTTTTAGAGCGCAGCTCTTAGGGGCCCGTTCCCGGCTTGAGCGGCGTCGCCGTCGCTGTCGCCGTCGCCGTAACCCCGCGGTGCATTATGGGTAAATTTCCCCGCTAGATTTAGCGGAAAAATTTCTCCGCTAAATCTAGCGTAAAAATTTTCCCTGCTAGATTTAGCGGAAAAAATTCCCCGCTAAATCTAGTGGAAAAATTTTCCCGCTAAATCTAGCGGAAAAATTTCTCCGCTAAATCTAGCGGAAAAATTTCTCCGCTAGATTTAGCGGAAAAAATTCCCCGCTAGATTTAGCGGAAAAATTTCCCCGCTAAATCTAGCGGAAAAATATCCCTGCTAGATTTAGCGGAAACATTTCTCCGCTAAATCTAGCGGAAAAATTTTCCCCGCTAGATTTAGCGGAAAAATTTCCCCGCTAAATCTAGCGGAAAAAATTTCCCCGCTTAGCGGAAAAATTTCCCCGCTAAATGTTGCGGAAAAATTTTCCCCGATAGATATAGCGGAAAAAATTCCCCGCTAAATCTAGCGGAAAAATTTTCCCGCTAAATCTAGCGGAAAAATTTTCCCCGCTAGATTTAGCGGGAGAGCATCAGAAATGGCCTCTGTGCCGAGAGGATCAGAAGTGGCCTCTGTGCCGAGAGGATCAGAAGTGGCTCAAGCCCTCTTACTGCGTCTGGTGCACGCCCTGGCTCTGCCCGCTCCTCCCATTGACCAAGCGTTCTCTATACACAGCTCTGCGTTATGTCATCAAGCGTCATCATACATCATCAGCGTGATGTCACCGCCGAAGTGCCGCGTGCAAAAGGTGCTCTTCGGACTTCATCTGTGCTCGTTGTGTACTTTGTGTGATAAACTGTGAGGCGACCGCATCTACATCTATGGCCTTGACAATAATGGCAGCACCTACATCTATGCCGGCTTCCACAGGCAAATGTATCTGCCCAGTTCTCGATGTTGTCCTTTAGGCCCACTTCAGACGGGGCAACTTTTCCAGCAATTTTGAGGTTGCTGCCGGGTTTTTCCCTAGCTTTCCTTAGATAGACGCGAATTGCTGAGATCGGGTCTGGCTCGAAACGGACGAGCAACTGGAACAACTCGGAGACGTTTGGAGTGGCAGCAGCCAATCAGGGACACAATATTTTCACGTGACACCCTTGTGGTGGTGATGATGACAGCTAAAGACTTGGTTCTGGTTTGAAATGAATCATTTTTGGAACTAAACCTTTTCAGAAAGATGACAATGCCATTCAAAGATATAAAAACACATTTTTAGCGTGTAGCTGTGTGTCTAAAAAGTGCAAGAAAAAATTAAAGCCGTTAACAATTTCCTGTAACGCCGGATTAGAGCGCACCTCTTGAGGAGGAGGGGGATGGAAGGGTACTGAGGGATAGGTGACTCCTTGAGGTCACGTGACTTCAGGGGGGGTCGTCTGATGTCAGGGGGGGTCACATGACCTGGGGGGGAGTCAAGTGACTTCGCGGTTATGCCGACGCCGCCGCCGCTCAAGCCGGAAACGGGCCCCTAAGAGCTGCGCTCTAAAATCAAATTGAATGATGATGATTGATAGCAAGTCGTAGCAATTCGGTTGCTGCGTGTGAATGCGGGCGGCCCGTGTTACTTGTGTTGCGACGTCAAGTTGCTGGGTGAAATTGCTCCGTCTAAAGCGGGCCTTAGGCGCCGTTCTCGTCGTCATCCTTAAGGTCGTCCTTGAGGTCATCCTAGAGGTCGTTCTAGACGCCGTATTTGGCGTCGATCTCGAGGACGTTGTCTAAACTTTAATATATGTAGAAACATTATTCAAAAGCGTTTCTCCCACGGGACTATAATGCTTTCGCCTTCCTAGTTTAATGCGTAAGCAGTCTTAAGTGTAGTCCTGTAATTTTATTTTTTAAATTATCACGAAATTTTTTTTAGCTATATCCTGTGGGCAACCTGGCGATTCCAAGCGGTTGGCCCAGGCTGCCCCTCCGACAATCATAAGTGGTCATCTTGGCCACGAGGGGGCCAAGGGCAACTGGCCACGCGAGCGGCGCTCCGCCGCTGATAAAAGGCCGTCGCAGCGGATGCGCGGGGGCGGTTGGGATCGCGGCGCAGGCGATTGCGGTCATTAAATGTTTACGTGTTGTTGAACCGGTGTGCTGTGTCATTCTCCGAGACGGGTAGCAGCAAGGGAAATCCCACAATCCTTAGGAGCTGCTCAATTTACTTCACTATAAACAGACAAAAATATTGTATTTACACAAATATAACGCCAGTTGTTTTCTAAAAAATTACGTGCTTCGAAACGCACGTCGTGTTATGTTTGGAATTAAGCTTGGCCTCAAGGTGCGTGAATTGGGAGAAGGCCATCCCTTTGAGGGTGCGAAGAGGAACGGGAGGACGAAAGTTACTAGTTCTTGCGCCACATAAAAAGGAGGAAACGACAGTTTTGAAAGCACTCTCGGTCATTTTCATGTTTGTACAATGCACGCAGCCGCAAAAATGACAAAAACACGACGCTCCACATTGGAGTGCGGGACTCTGGTCAGTTCAAGCCAAACCAAGCCAAGACCACTGGCCATGTTCGTGCAATCATGAAACACAAAGTGTGTGTTCATGCACATGGGCTGTAGCAAGGGCGAGAACGATTGTGTATAGCTTTCAGCACTCTTTGTTCTGCCTGTATAATTAGTTTCTGCTCGAGAGTTCTGGCGTTTTGCATTGGTGTTTCTGCTTCATGTGTCTCATAAACCAACCGACTTGACACAGCCGTGGTTCAAGAGGAATAGCTTACGGACAAAGAGCTTGCTCCGAAAGAAAAGAAACTACGAGACAAGCGTAACTCTGAAGTCGCGAATGCAACAGTGAGAGGAATCTGAGCAGAGACAATGAGTGCAGTCAAAACGTGCACAACATTTTCCAGATTCTTGTCTCCTTTTCACTTACGCTATGCCCCGGGTGCGGCAACTCTATGTTTGCATTATAATAGTAATCATTTTTCTTTTTTTTAGGTGCTTCAAAATTTGCCCTCACATTATACTATTTGTGGTCGCGTTATATTTGTGCAAATACAGTCAAACCTTGATGTAACGAAGTCGGTAAAGTTCGGAATTTACTTCGTTACATTGAAATTTCACTACATAGAAATTCGGGGCTAACGTTAAATAAAGTTTCCACAAATTTTTCTCGGGTGCACTAAACTCACCGAGGATGCCTTTATTTCGGTTGAAAGTAGTCCGTCACCTTTTTCTGGGCCACTGTTGGCAATATTATTGGCATCACATGACGTTTACAAACCCAGACGGCCTGCATCGCGTCTTTGTCTTGCTTTGTGCTCACGAACCGCCTCAAGGCATCGATCGCGTCCACCACTTCACGGTTACTGGGCACATTGCAGGTGTCTTGCTCATCAGGCTCGATGTCGTCCCCGTCTTGCGAGTTCCTACGAACATCGCTAGCCATCGCCTCGTCGGTCACCTCCTCCAACGCAATGACAACAGAGTCCGCCGTATAGAAAGTCGTTGAGGTCGACGTTGTCTGGGGTGGCTCAATCGCCTTCGAGGCTCCATCGCCCAAGACAACGAGAAACGCACGCGTTTAGTTAGGCCTCGAAACGAACTACGCGGCGTGAACAAAGCCGACGGACGAAACGGTTGCGGCTCTAGTACCCTCTAGTGGCCATTCTGTACACCATGCTCACCAGATTCGGCCTGTTTCACCCTTTGCACTTTATCGAAGGCCTGTTTCACCGCATGGGCTTCCCAAAATCCCCTTTGGGACCCAAAAGTTTGTGACGAATTGTCCATGAAACTTCGTTACATAGAAATTTCGGCCAGCGGGACTTCGTTACATAGAGGTCAAAAAATATATGGCGTGCATACACTTGCGGTGAGAAAAGGTTATGTACTTCGTTACATGGGGGGTTTCGTTACATAGAAGTTTGTTACATCGAGGTTTGACTGAAGTGCAAACGGGAAAAATAGTGCAAAGGGGCTAACGGAAAAATGGCAAAAAGTGCAAACAGGAATAGGAAATTTTGATCGCTTCACTATAGCCGCTATTTCGTTATAACTTATATCATTGGGCGCGGCAGTGCAGAAAGGTGGAGTATGCATGGGATCGTCTGTGTCTTTGCTTCAATGTTGGCAGAACTTTATTTCAGCATCTGGATAACACAGGGACAGACAGTTTAGACCTTGATGCCTCAAATCGTTGCCTAGTAAGAAGGTATGTAGATGACATTTTTATTACTTCAGTTTATGAAAAGCAATCACCGGATTTGGAAGTGTTGGTGAAATCAGCAGCTCCGGAGCTTAGGTTTACTGTAGAGGAACCGTAGGGTGTGTTATTGTAGTTTCTGGATTTGTGCATGCATATCAAAGAAGTTCTATGCTGGGAATATGGGAAGAAAATTGTAAAACCTGTGTTAAATGGGAATAGTTGTCATGCCAGGTCGGTCAAAGCGGGAGTTGTGTAGTCTTTAATGTTAAATGCAATGCAGAAATCGTGCACACATTGGATGAGCCACATAGTGAATAAATAATGGAGGAAGCTAGCAAGTGCTGGGTATGAAAGATTTCATAACAAAACAACTAGGACAGCAGTGCAAGGTTAGAAGTAAGTGTGACAAAGAACCAAGAGGAAGGTAACAGCGATCCCATATTTCCATCAGATTTCACACAATCCAAAGCCTCCGCCAAAAAGTTAGGAATTGACGTGGCATTCAGAGCAGATTTCAAACTGAACTGCCTGACGCCTTTTCAGTTCAGCAA